TTTACAGGGACGCCTTTGGGCCCCATGTGGACAATGTTTCACATTATTTTGCAGCCCGTTTCCCCCTCATTGCCTCAGTTTCTCTGCACTGCAATAGGCTTCACTTTTTTCCTTGTCTTTGGAACCATTTTGGTGACCCTTTCCTGGGCCTTTCTGCACTAATAGTGATAAAATTCTTCCCAGGAGCCCACCGTGTTTACCAAGGAGGAAGAAAACGTCCCATAATTAACCTCCCATCCTGTTGCTTCCCCTTCCATTTCCGCTAGGAATGTAGACCTGGGAAGACCCCTGGGAATAAAGACCTTCCTCACTGCAAGAGGCTCACTGTTCCTCTCAGGGGACCACAGCTCTGACAGCAAATGGCTGTGTTATCAATAGCGCCTCCCCCACCTTGCCCAAGTATTCCAGATAGAATGTGGGAAGAATCTGAACTTTAAAAAAAAAATAATAATCTGCCAAGATCAAGTTTTCTTTAGCTGTTTGAAATCCTTCCCACAAAAATCTCGATTCCCAGTCTCACTACACTTTTACCAATTAGTGGCTATCAGCCCTCTGCACACTCTGCTGTGTTGTCTAGAAGGTGGCCCATCCTGAGCCCTGGGACCCTCTGGCTATAGTAGAGTGAAGATAATGTATCAACAGGAAGTCAAAATTTGACATAAAAAAGAGATCCATTGTAAAGACATCTCTATTGTAAAATTTCCAATCTTTCTGGAAACATTAAAATATACCCACATCCACCTTTATTGCCTCTAGCTTCCAATCAAGAATGAACTAATGTTGAAGACCATTCTGTGTGTTTAGCTACAGGCTCACTTATTCACTCAGCAAATATTTATTGTATATAAGCGAGGAGACAGGCACTGTGCCAGTCATTAAGCTTGGATAGAGATAAGAAAGGATTCTTGGGATTAAAGAACTTGTACACTAGTGGAAACAGACAAATGAAGAGATAAGTACAAAATATGATCAGTAAGGACTATGTTTGCAGAATTAACAAGTGCTATAGGAACACTGAGAGGGAAAATGTTAACATGCATGTAGGATAAACGCATGTATGGACAATTATGGGTGTCCACTGTGTGCCAGGCAGTGCTGAGGAAAGAGCAAGAACAAAATGAATCCCCCGTCGGCCCTGGGTTTACTCTCTAGTTAAGGAGGCAGGTAGTATCAAAAACGATGTAACATCAGGATGCGGAAAGCATTGCAGAAGGGAGGCTTGAGTTGGGTCTGGAAGGATAAACAGGTGTTAGCAGAAAAGGGCATTCTGATTTGTGAACAAACAGAACGCTGGGGTGGAGGAGAGATGGCTGGGGTGGAAGAGGTGGGAGACAGCGGTGGGTGAGAAAGGGCATGAAGTACTCTGAAAAGGCATCCTTTAGGTGATTTGGGTGGATCACAGGTACCGTGGGAGGGATAGGATGCGTTTTTTTCCCCCCGAGTGTTTGGAAGAGAATTCATTCATGGTTGTCAGAACCAGAAGGGACATTAAGAGTAAGAGGTACACAGATTACTTCCCTCATTTGTGGAGTATAAAAACAAAGCAAACCTGAGGGAACAAAATAGCACCAGGCTCACAGACTCTAAGAAGGGACTAGTGGTTACCAAAGGGGAGGGTTTGGGAAGGGTGTGTGGGGAGGGATAAGGGAATTAAGGGGCACTATAATTTACAATCACAATATAGGTGGGTCACGGGGAAGGCAGTACAACACAGAGAAGACAGGTAGTGACTCTATAGCATCTCACTATGCTGATGGACTGTGGCTGCAATGGGGTGTGTGTGTGGGGGGGGTACTTGATAATATGGGTGAATGTTGAAACTACAATGTTGTTCATGTGAAACCTTCATAAGATTATATATCAATGATACTCTACTTTTTTAAAAAAGGTACAAATGGACATAGTCCCTCATTTAACAGATGGAACACACTAGACCCGGGGAGGGTGGAGTAGCTTGTCTAAGGTCACCCAGCTAGTCGGGACACATCAGGATTAACTAAATTGTCTGCACGACAGGCCGGAGAAGCTGCGGGCGGGAGGTGGTGCCCTTGCCCGAGCTCCCGGGGCTGACACACAGCGCCCCCTACTGGTGCTTCTCTGCAGAGCGGCCCGAGGGTCTCGTCCCGCCGCTGCCCCTACAGCCGCGCACGTTTCCCAGGAGCGCCGCCTCTCCCGGGGGCGCGAGGGCGCCGCCTGCCGGTCCGCGGGGCCCCGGGACGCGCCCAGCTGTCCTCGCCACGGCGGGGCTCCCCGGCTGGGAGGAGGGCGCTCGCTGCCCGCGCCCCTGGCAGCCCCGCGGCCCCGGCGAGGGCTGGGCGCTCAGCGTCCCGGCCGCCTCGCAGCATGGGCGGAGAAGTTGGCAGCGTCCCCAGCAACGCCCTTTCGCCTGCTCTCCCGGCGCCGGGACCCCGAGGCAGGGCTCCGCCGCACCCCGCCCACCCGCCGCCCCACCCTGCCTCCTCCGTCCGCGCCTCCGCCCGCGCGGGGCAGGGTCAAGCCGGCTGTCGCGGAGCACGGGCGGGCGCAGCCGGGGCGCCGCGCTCCGAGCCATGGGAGGCGCCCACTCTCAGACCCCGCGTGGCCGGGAGCCGGCCGGGGAGAGGCCCCCGAGACCCCGAGAGACCGCGTGAGTCCCAGAGCCCTCCCTGGGCCGCCGGCCGGGGGTTGCGTGCCAGCCCGGAGTAGCAGCGCACGAGCCTCTGTCCCCAGGGCTGGGAAGGCGGGGGGCCCGCGCGCACCCGCGGGAGCGCAGGGACTCCGAGGTTGGCGGGTGCGACATCCCGTCCGGAGTTCCGCCCTGAGGGGTGCCCTGGGGGCGCCCGGCCACGACCCCACCGACAAAATTGAGCCCAGGCGGGGCTCCTGTCCTGCGCCTCTTCTCTCTGGGCGGGTGGGAGCAGGGGACCCCGAGTTTGTCCGAACTCTTACCAGTAGGAAAACACACGTGTCCTTAAGGGCTCTGAAACGTTCACATTTGCAGGGAGGTGTGGATGGTAGAAAAGGACTCGAGTCTCCAAGATAACTCAGCTCGTGGTGGCCTTCAGGATCCAGGAATTTTGATACAGTGCTCGCTGCTCACAAGAACTCCCTCTCTTGTTTGCTACGATGGCTTCATGATGATCTCAGAAAAAGGGCTGTATTGTAGCAGAAGTAATTAGGCTTTTGTTCTGGGACAGCAACAATTAGGGACACCAAGTACTGAAATGCAAGCTGCGAAGGGACATTTTTAGAGAATGTGATTTAGATCAAGTTGCAGGGTCTGAAAGATAGCCATGCTTCTTGCCAGAGAGAGGATGCGTTGATAATAACTTATTTGAGAACCCAGGCTTGAAGCGTTTGATTAAAATTGTTAGAGTGTGTGTGTCTTGGAGGTGAGGTAATGCCAAGGAATTCATACTGTATTTTAATTCAATCAATGCCAAAGCAGTTTAGTTTGAGGAAGGTGCGCTTAACTATCACATAGAGGCAACCTGGGCCATGGGAGGGTTTTTTGATCATCATTTCAAAGCAGAGTACCTCCCAAATATCCAAATGATAAATGTTTTAGTGGTGCCTTCAGCTGTTTGCATGTGATCACTAATCTGAAAGTTCAGGCAGCTCGTTAATCATAAGAATAACTGAGAATTATTGAGTACATAAAAGGCGGGAAACAGTGTTCTAAATACTCTGTGTGTCGTTTAATCCCCAAGAACACTGAGTTAGGTTCTCTTGTCTTCGTTTTACTGATGAGGAAATTGAAGCACAGAGAGATGAAGTGACTTGTCCAAGGTCACACCGCTAGAAAGTGGGGGGCCCAGGTTGTCTAACTCCAGAGTTCTTGCGGCAGCTGCTTCCCAAAGGAGAGTTGAAACCTGTGTTTCCTAGGAAACAACCAACTTTTGTCTCAGTTGGCCGAATGCGCCCCATTTTTTTCTTTAACTCTTCCTGGACAAGGGAAAGCTGAATTAGCAATGCATAATACCTAATAAGAGGAAGTTGCGAAGGTTGATTTAACTTTTTAAAAGACTTTGAGATGAAGTGAAGAGTTTTGGAAGCAGATAGCCCTGAGCTTTATTCTAGGCTGTCCGCCCCTTAACAGCTGGAGATCTTTTATCTTTTCCTTAACCTCTCTGTGTCTGTTTTCTTGTTTGTAAATAGAGAATGAAAACAATGTCCTCTTTGTCAGCTGTTCTCAGGATGACATAGATCATGTATGTATAACAAGTTATAGTTTATCTCTGAGCAATATATTGTTTTAGCCAAGGATTAAAAGTTGATTGTTTAATCCTTGGGACTATGTGTCAGGGTTTACTGTTTAATTTGAAAGTAAATATTGGGATCGTTTGCTGATAGCATGCTGAAGAAATGCACTCCGTGCTTTCTATGTAATGTTCTGTTGTTAGGGTGAGGAATTTGGTTCTCAACTGTTAAATTATCTGTTGGCTTGGCAATAGATAGAGACTGTCTGTCTCCAATGAGGTTCTGTGTGTACCTTACATATTTAGCAAAGCTTGTCGTGGTGGTGGTGGGGCGCCCTTATCCACTCAAGTGAATGCCTTTGGAAGCACATGTAGACAGTCTCATCAAAGTGTACTTAATGAGCCAGCCCTACAAACCACTTGGTGTGCCCCAGGTGGGCACTTTAGAAATGTGAGATTCGTCACCTGTACTAGACATGAAAAGTAGAAGATATGTTTTTTATCTAAGTCCTGCCTTATTCAGATGTACAAGCCACAAGTCTCTCCAGGGTCTAAGAAAGTATGGACTCATGGTTAATGTTACTCGCCTACGGATTTCCTGCCGGACACAATGGCTATCATGGATAACATGACCTCAAGGAACTTCTATGCAGGCCGTTGCATTTTCAAAATCTATTGTTCCTTTAAAAAAAAAATACATGCATGAAAATCTCACAAGTAGAGCATTACTACTGGCATTTGTTGAGGGAGAAATTTTGTTTCAGAATGGTCACAATTTATTTTTCAGAGTAATTTAAATACTAAATTTAAGTATTAAAATTAACCAGGTAAATCACTCTTAGCACAGCTCTATTGTGAAATATAAACAAGTATGGATGTACATGAAAAGAAATGCCTGATTTTAAGATAAAACTTGTTATTATTAAAAATGGTGACTGTCTATCTTCCCCAAACCCAAGGGAACAAAGGAGCTTGCTCATTGGTAAAAGGTAGGAGAAATTTCACTTCATTTATTCAGGGACACTGCCCAATATGGTGATTAGGAGCAGAAGCTGTGGAGTCAGGCTGAGCTGGGTGGGAATTCCAGCTAGATCGCTGACTAGCTTAGGCCAGGAAGCTTTGGAAAATACTTGTTTAACTCTTCAGTTGAACAATTCCTGCATCTTTAACATGGCTATAATCATGCCTACTTTTTGGCATGGTGTACATTCTTAGCACAAGGTCTGAGTGTTAGTACATTTACATGTATGTGTACCTATAAGCCAGATGCATGTGGTACAAGGTTCCGTGGGACGTATATTTTTGAGAAAGGCAGCATGTCCTTAAGGGAGAGCTGCCTTGGGCCTTAATGCAGCAAGTCTTAGAGAACAAGCAAAGCCATAACTCTTTGGAGTTAATTTTCTCCTTGGTTAATTTCCATTTCCCAGGAAGATACACCCTTAAGACTGTGGATGTGTGTTCGGGGATATAGTGGTTTGGTGAAATGTTTGAAATCACAGATTCCTTAGTTGATTATTTCTGGCCACGTGCCAGGGTGGGTTTTCTAAGAGCAGTAAATATTTGGGGGAGAGATTTGAAGCATGACATACAGCAGAGCCATGGGGGAACGTGGTGTGTAACTAATTCCTCCAGTGCTTATGAAGCTCCACTGCCTGAAATGCAAGATACGCACCTGTTGTCAATTCTTACTAAATTTGTAGACCAATCTTCATTTGCATTTGGAATATGTCATAATGGAATAGGACAGTGTCAGAGTTGGGAGGAGTTTCTGAGGTCTTGATATTTTGCTGTGCTCCTTTCTGATTATGTAATTTAGATGTGGGTTTTACAGGGTTCTAATGAACTGCAAAGTCAGCAACAGTAAGTGAGCTTCTCTTGTTGGGCAAGTCACTGGGACAGATGTCCCTGACATGAAGAGGGAGGTGCCGGCTTTGAAGTCTTAGACACAGAAAAACATGACTCAAAATAAACAAACTTAGGGAGCAATGTTTCTGAAACCCATTACTTGCTAATTCATATCATTCACCACCTCCTCACCACACAATTTTTACTGCCATAAAAAATGTTTTGTGACTTGCATGACAAGGGAATTGTTTGTGTGTATATGTTGAGTTTAGTTATCACAACTTCCGGATGTGAGGATAGTTGAAATGGTAGAAGAGTTAATAATGGAAGAAAAGTTCCTCTCTGCAAATCACTGAAAGGTAAGGTAGATACTCTTATCAAGAATGGAAACTCTAAGGGGGCTCAGGGAGGGTTTTGTCTACAATTTCTTCTCTCTTTTAGTGGCCAACTGCTCCCCCCCTCTACCTCTACCCTTCAGCTTTTCCCAGCTGGTCCATGTTTCAGTATTAAAGTCAAGATGAGAAAAGGGAGGGGAAAAGAAGGGGGCATGGCTACTGGTGACCTGAGCTAGCAAAGTGGATGACTTAACGTCTGACGTCTGAGTTGATTGGTAGCCAGAGTGGGTTGTAGGGTATGTGAATTTGTTAACCTGAGGTCAGGAAATCAAGTGATAACATCCTGAATGGCCATGGAAGTTGGAGGTCTCTCTTCTAAGGCTCACTCTGCCTTTTTGGGGGCTACTTTTTCAAAAATTGTGTGTGTGCATTATTCTATTGTGGTAAAATACACATAAGATAACATTCACCATTCTTAAAATCACTTTTAAGAGCAGAATTTAGTGGCATTAAGTACATTCCCATGCCACTATCCACTTCCGGAACATTTCCATCATCCCAAACAGAAATTCTTCACCCATTAAATACTAACTCTCCGTTCTCCCCTCCCTTAACCTGTGGTAACCTTTATTTTACTTTCTGCCTCTATCTGCCTATTCTAGGTCCCTCCTATAAGTGAAATTATACAATATTTGTCCTTCTGTGTCTGGCTTACTTAGCATCATGCCATCAAGGTTCATTCCTGTTGTAGCATGTATCAGGATTACAGTCTATATGACTGAATAATATTCCATTGTATGGATATACTACATTCTGTTTATCCATTCATCTGTCGATGGACATCTGGGTTGTCTCCACATTTGGCTACGGTGAATAATTCTGCGATGAACATTGACCTGCAAGTATCTGTTTGGATTCCTGCTTAGTTCTTCGGGGTATATGCCTAGGAGTGGAATTTCTGGGTCATATGGTAACACTATGTTTAACTTCCTGAAGAGCCACCAAACCACTTTCCACAGGATTTCACCATTTTACTTTATCACCAGCAAAGCATGAGAGTTCCAATTGCTCCACATCCTTACTGTCACTTGTTGTTCTTGGGGTTTTTGGGTTTTGTTTGTCTTTTTAAATAGCTGTCCTAATGAGTGTGAAATGATGTATTTTGTTTTGGTTTGCATTTCCCTGATGATAAGTGATGCCGATCATCTTTTCAGGTGTTTATTGACCATTGGTATATCTTCTTTGGAGGAATGACTATTCAAGTCCTTTGTTCATTTTTGAATTAGGTTGTTATTGAGTTATGGGCATTCTTTGTATATTCTGGATATTAATCCCTTCTCAGATATATAATTAGCAAATATTTTCTCCCATTCTGTGGGTTGCCATTTTACTGTATTGATAGCGACTTTTGATGCACAAATTTTTTTAATTTTGATGAAGTCCAATTTATCTTTTCTTTTGTTTCCTATGCTTTTAGTGTTATATTCAAGAAATCACTGCCAAATCCAATGTTGTGAAGATTTCCCCCTATGTATGATTCTAAGAGTCTTATAATTTTAGCTCTTAAGTTTAGGTCTTTTACCCATTGTAAATAAGTTTTGCATATTGTATGAGGTAAGAGTTCCTTCATTCTTTTGTATGTGGATCCAGTTTTCCTGGCACCATTTGTTGAAAAGATTATCTTTCCCCCATAGAATGGTTTTAGCAATCTTATAGAAAATTGACTGTCTATGTGAGTTTTTATTTCTAGACTCTCTGTTCTCTTCCATTGAGCTGTATTTCTAGCCTTATGCCAGTACTAAACTGTTTTGATTACTGTAGCTCTATAGTAAGTTTTGAAATCAGGAAGTATGAATCCTTCAACTTTTTTCTTCTAGTGGTTTTATGACTTCCTTTTCATTATCATAAACCATTTACCCTATTGAAATTTCTAGAATCACTAGTATAAGAGAAGGGTTTTTTTTTTCAAAGTAGCTAACCAGTTATTTCAGTACTAGTATTAAGAACTGATGTTCCCCAACTTACGATTGGACTTAACTTTTTTGACGTCATGATGATGATGTAAAAGCAATATGCATTCCATAGAAACCATACTTTGAATTTTGAATTCAGATCTTTTATTGGGTTAACCATCTGCAGTATAATCCTCTCTTGAGATGCTGGGCAGGGCAGTGAGCCACAGCTCCCAGTTAGCCACACAATCACAAGGGTAAACAACTGATACACTGAAAACCATCCTAAACCCACACAACCATTCTGTTTTCACTTTCAGTACAGCATTCAATATGTTACATGAGATATTGAACACTTTATGATAAAATAAGCTTTGTGTTGGATAATTTTGCCCCCCCGTAGGCTGATGTGTTTGAGTATATTTAAGGTAGGCTAGGTTAAGCTGTGGTGTTTGGTAGCTTAGGTGTATTAGAGACATTTTCTATGTTATTTTCAATTTATGATTTGTTTACCTGTATGCAACCCCATTGTAAGGTGAGGAAGATCTGTACCAAGTAATCCTTTCTCTTCCTGCAGATTTGTAATACCATTTTGGAAAAACAGTATTATAACCTCTCTTTCCTTCTGTTTAACATTTGATGATTGTTCTCTCTCCATCGTCATTCATTCAGCAAACACTAATTGACTGCCTAATTGTGCTCAGGCACTGTGAATGTTATTTACTATTTCTGTAGGAATTTACATGAGCAGAGGAAAGCATTTTCAGATGTTTCAAATCTGAATATTCATTTATAATACTGGGGCCAAGTGATTTGCTAGAGAGTCAGACAAGTGGAGGTGAGCTTGTGAATGGAGGAAGGTGTCTGGAGTTTGGGAAAAAAGGACATTCATAATTGAGCTTTTTTCATAGATTTTACACTGACGTGGGTCAGTCTTCAGCCCATTTGAAAGTTTATTTTTAAGCAATATAGCTTCCTATATGAAAACAGTGATGTTTCCAAATGCTCTGCCTGCTCTCTTGGGCTTACATTTTTCTTGGACAGTCTAGACTTTATTTTTCATACTAATATGACAAATATTATTTCTGACAGATGATAGATGATAAACCACTATGCTCTACTCTTTCTTTACCTTCCATCTTTTCTGCATGTGCAGATTTGGTAACTTCAGAGAGTGAGAGAATCCCTCACTTTGGCATTTCTTCATTCTCTAAATTCTTACTGTTAAGGACACTTCGGATGTAATTTTTTTTTGCCTGTACATAGTACAGTGTTGCCTGAACCCATCTTATGGTATGTCTACTGCCAATGTTATTAATAACAATTGTAAGTAAAAGAAATTATATTTAGCTTGCTTAAATTTAGGGGTATTACATAGAATTTTAGAGTCGTATCTATTTTCTGAAAGCAGGATAGTTCTATTTCTAATATAACTCATACATCTGTCTCATACTGCGTGTCCCCAGAAAAGCCTGACAGCCTGGTATGTCACTGATAAGGATGAGACCTCCCAGAAATCTTGCAAAAATGCTTTGCTTTACAGCAATAACTCTTAAAACTCCTTTGGATCACAGATCCCTTGGTTACATGAGAAATGCTTTATAGACTTTTTACATGTATGCCCAATATATAAAAGGAGTGTCAGAGATCCTGAGGCCTACACATTATCTCTTTTAATCCTTTCGTAGACCCTAGGAAGTAGATAACATTCTCTCCGTGTTACAGATGAATAAACAGAGGTCTGGCAAAGTTGAGAAACTGAGTGCACAGAGCTAGTTAATGACAGCTGGGATTCAGGGCTGGTGAACCTAGCTGAAGCAGAAGTGGTGAAATTACCAGCAATTTCCAGAGTGGGTCTTCCATATCAGTACTTCATTAGCTAGCAGAGGTTTCTGTTTAGCTGCTAGAAAATAAATTTTTATGACTCTTACCCTAGTGATAACATAGTTCCAGGTAAGTACAATGTTTGAGCAGCAGTGTCCAGCCCATTCTGTAGATAAATACCCATATGTTATATTGCATTTATACAGAGCAGACAGAATGCCTCTTCTGGGTTTCTTTGCTGACTTATTTTTGTCCGCGTATCCTGCTTTCCTAACAACTGCACAATGTTATGTTTCTATGGCTACATCAGAACTGTTCTTAAATAGAGGTTTGAGAAAACACAACTAGCAAGGCTTGGGCAAGATAGAATGGTGGGAAGATGACTGACATTTTACCTGCCAGACATCATCTTCTAAGCATTTCTTTGAGTCTAATAGTCTTTTTTTAAAATTGGAGTATAGTTAATATACAATATTATATTGGCTCCAAGTATACAACACAGTGTCTAATGGTGCCCTGCTGTCTCTGCCCCTTCCCAGTTCCTTTGCTTGTCTTCAAATCTGTATGCCCACTGGTTTCACCATGTGTGAAGCTGTCGTTCCTAATAAATGACCAGTAGCCCACAGTGATGACATTTGGGAACACAAGTCAAGTTCTGAATAACATGGGCCACCTTTCCAATGGATACCCAAGTGCAGGTTGACAGGTTCCCTTGAGGACAGGATTATAACTAAGAGATGTGCCCAAATTTCAGGAGTAGCTGACAGTAGCAGAGAGGAAGAGGGCCAGAGGGAGGATCTCTGACCTTCTACCTCCTTTCTGCTTCTTGCCGGCTAGGAGGCGCTGTTTTCTCGTCCTCCCACCAGGGGGCGCCAGCCACCACCTGCTTAGTGCTTGGCACAGACTGACCGGAGTCGAGCGAGACTATTTTGTTCTGCTGACTGCTCTACTGGGTAGGATGAAATGAGAAAGTCATCTGATACGAACTTATGCTACATGGTAGAGAAAAGAGAATACGGAATGAAGGAGGATGGTATTGCATTTTTTGATACCTTCATCTCCTGCTGGCTTAGGATCGATCCTACCTCTCCTGAGTGTGTTGTTTCTCCTCACACCTCCGAATTGTATGGTTCAGAGCATATTTTCTGTGGCTTCTGAGAAGCTGGAAGGCTTCCCCCTTCTTCATGCTGCTCAATGGTGTTCACTGGTTGAATGGCGTATAAACGCCCTGTGTTGGATGCGGGAGGCGGGCTGGTGGTGACTTTTGTAGTTAACCGAAATACAAATCTTGAAGACATTGTCTTCAAAAAAATGTGTTGATTGAATGTGTGACAGAGTTTCTGGTGCCCTCTGGTGGCTGGGCGGCGGTCTGCACAGCACGGTTGCGTTCACAGAAAGAGGGAGACGCGTGCTGTCCCTTCCCGGCAGGATGCCGGCTCTGCCCTGAAGAGAGTGAGGAATATTCTCCAGAGACCAGAGCTCGTACTGTTCCAGTGGCTCCCTCGTCTCTCTCTCAGTTCCGGTCGCCCTAACCTACTCCTTTTAGTTTCTCCTTGCGGTTCTCAGTCGGCAGTCCTTTCCCAGGTGTGGCCTTTTTCTTTTAAGTAAACATCGTTTTCAGTCCCCTGATAATTAATTGTCTATCTTGTTTGATTCCAGGTCTCTGCTTGAAAGGTCGGAGGTGCTAAGGAGGGTCTTATGTTGGAACTGAAATGTTTGAGGAGTGTATGTGTGTGTGTGTATGGGGTGAATGTGTGTCTGCATGTGTGACTGGGGATGTGTATGTGTGCATGTGTGTGTGACCCTGTGTGCATGTATATGACCCCATGTGTGCATGTGTGTGCGTGTGCGCGCCTGTGCTGCCGGCCCTGACTGCCAAATCCTTGCTCACTCAGCAGTGTCACCGCACAGACGCGTGTTCCCTGCCGAGCGGAAGGGCTGTACTCGGTGCTGTCGCCTGTGTCTCCTGCGGAGCATGCCTACTGCATCTGACAGTGTCAAATCCCGGATTTCTCGCCTCTTTCCACAGCGGAGAGGTCGTTTGGGGCCACACCGTTCATCAGCAGGGCAGTGCCCCCCAGGAGCAGCGCTCCTGCCCTCCCAGCAATCTTGAGGGGGCGGATGTGGGCTCCGTTTCCCCTGCAGGCACCAGCTCGCTGCCGAGCCCTCCTCCTCCCTTCTCTCCACCCCATCCTGCCTTGGCGCGTTTGAAAGCCCTGCGTGGAAGCTGGACGCCGTTCCCTTGTTTGGCCCTGCTCGAGCGCTCCGCCGGGGCCCCGCGGCGGCTGGCGTTTGTGGGGCTCGTCGGGGCCCTGCCCTGTGCGGTGGCCTCCGGGTCAGAGAGAATAAGCAGCCCCAGCGAGCCTTGCCAAACTCAGCAGACGTTTTTGATTGAATTTAATTAAAGGGCGCGTGCTGAAGAGAAAACGATTCTGAGTATCTTATTTGAGAAGAAAAATATCAACACTGAAAGGGAGGAAAGAAAGACCCCAGCGCCAGGGCGCATTACTGTCTCCTAGAGTTAGGGGATGTCTCTGAACTTGGTCCGTCAACGGTGGTGGGGTAGAACGAATTGTGGGAACATCTGAGGCTGCTTTTTACCAAGCAGATGTATCAGGAGCCCCGGAAAGAGGCTTAAGAACGTTGCCACACAGTCTCCCTGTATCCATTACTGGCCCCACATCCTGGGAAATGTGTCTACCAGCTGTCATTCCTCCAGGCTTACAGAAGGTCTTCAATAAAGGGTTTATTGCACCAAGAGGCAGTGACTAATGAAAATGCCCACCACGTGGGCTAATCCCAGTGCTGAGTCACATTTCTGCCTGTACTGTCTGCTGATGCCACTAACGGTCTCAGCTTGCCTCCTGGGAGGGGTGCCTGCTGGATGCACTGTGGTTACCACAGCAGATGCCACCTCTACAGGTAGCAGCTCTTAGCAGGGCTCCCTGCCTTTAGAATTTGATGCAGGAAATGGGAGGGGTAGTGGTCAAAGGTTTAGAGAGATTGTCAGGACAAAATGGGATGGACTTGGGTCGTGTGCCCTCTGCTGGACTGAGTGTTGTGGGTGGGGTGCATGGCTTAGTCAGGCTCAAGTCACTTCCCCTCCCGGGGTCTCAGGAGCCAGAACCATCCACCGCCCCCAACCCCTGAGGGTGGGAGGGGTGGCCTCATACAGACAATGTGGACTGTTGCTCAAAAAAGAGAGACCAGTGTTAGGCGAAGAATAGGGTACCCTCTTCGAGCCATCATTCAGCTGTTGTGAGTCAGGTGCTGAAAATACCCTGGACTTAAGAGTTTTGTTGAACAAAATTCAGAATATTTTGGACAAAAAGAAGTAATAAGTGGTATTCAGTCCATAAATACCATTGTGAGGGGAACTGTTGAACTTGCTGTTGATCAGAAGGCATTTTACGTCTCGTTTGGAGGATACAGATGCATTTCCTGTGTCCAGAGAAGGTCTACAGTGAGATGAGAGAACAGTGATTTAAGGTACCCCCTGGGAGGCCCATTGGGGGCTGGACCCCCAGAGTTTCTGATATACTAGGTCTGGGGTGGGGCTCAAGAATCTGCATGTCAAATTCCAAGAGATGCTGACCCTGCTGGTCCAGCTGCCACACATTCAGTGTCACCCGTTTAAGGCAAAGGACTTAAACACTCCATTTACCAAAAAAGAAAGAAGGAAAGAATGGAAGGAAGGAATGTTGGATGAGAAGGAAAGAAGTCAGCCAATGGCTCAGTACATACATTACAAGATTCAGGCGCATTAACAATCAAGTTCCAGTGAAACCAGCAGCGTCAAGTCGTCTCTATGGATTTGCCAAAGTTTTAGCAGATTAACTGAACTCAGGGTTGATTATGGTTTAGGGAAAAGGCTGCCTCATACACTGTTGTATAAAAACGGGAATTGGTACAGCCTTTCCGGAGGGCACTTTTGTTCTAAGTATCTAAATATAAAAATGTGTCTGTTTTGACACTACAATTCCACTTCTGGAGTTTTAACTCTAAGAACTAATCACATGGGTGTGAAAAGACACATGGGTGGGGTTGAGCATGGTTTCATTTGTGAGAAGGAACAATGAACCCTCTAAATATCCCTTCATAGGGAACCAACTATGTAAATCATGTAGACACACATGCTAAGGAAAGGAGATCAGAACATGGGTTCTGCAGGGGTCTGGAAGGGACCTGGGGGACATCCCAGTTCCCACTCCCCCTGCAAACAGGAGGAATGGGGGAAGGCCTCACCTCTGGCAGAGCACAGGATGTATATTTAAATCTCATTTGTGTGTCTGGCTGCCTGCCTGCCTCTCTAGCCATGCTCATAACACCGGCTTGTGTATATATAAGGGTGGATTTGGAAGGTTTGTTTAATCAATATTACTGAGTAACAGAACAAGATAGACAAGGTGCTTTGTGTTCATGGATGGCCCTTCTAGTTGGGAAAGACATAAGTCAAAAATATGTAAATAGTTTGATTCCAGTATAAGATAAAAAGATAAAAACAGGATATATTACCCACCAACATTTCAACTGTGGTTATTTATCAAAAGTTTTCCTTTTCTTTGTTGTCTTCTGTGTCATCCGAAATTCACTTTTCAAAGCCCACCCTCCAGCAGGCCCCCGATGGCCTGTGCTCTCCCGACCCCACCAGGTGCCACCTGGGGTGGTAAGTCCCTTGCTCCTTGTGCATCAGCCACACTTGCCCCAAAGCAGAGGCTCCTATTCCCTCTGCTGGGAAGCTGATACCCCTGTTTAAAAAAATTAAACTGAGTAATTTTAATGATCTAATGATTGGCTTTATTAAGCAATTCATGAATCAGGCAGCATCCCCTGTACCAAGCAGAAAGATGCTCTATTGAATTGCAGAGAAGGAAAGGTTTCTAAAGGTAGAGAGGGAGCTGGAAAAAGGAAATTATTAGAGAATCCAATGTTTTAGGCAAAGTCACCCTCCTAAGGGGAAGAGAAGGGATCTCTCAGTAAATTTCCTAGTGCTGACCAGAAATTTCCATGGTGACTGAAAGGTTCCATTGCTGGGGGCGCTGAAAATACAGGTAGGTTAGGAAGTAAGTCTTGGTTTGGTGACATAGAACCATTAGCAGGAATGACTCAATCTTTGGGCCACCCCAGATTTCCAGGCTCATCCCTCAGGCCACAGAGCAGCCTCTGACTCCCTGATTTATCTGCACTAATCCCCCCACCCCACACGGCCCTTGGCCTTTCTTGTAGCCGCTGCACTTTTCTGACATTTGCATGACAGTTTGTTAGTTATGTACTTGTTTCTTTGCTTACCAAACTCACTAATGTGCAGGCTCCATGAGGACAAGAACTGGGTCTGTTTTGTCATTTTTGTAATATTTGTGAGGTCATTGAATGAAAGAATGAACATGTATATAATTTTCCCTTAATAAAGGAATTTGAAATATTTAAAACAAAGCACACTGTTGTTTGTGTGCAGAAGGATTCTTTGCTTTATAAAATAGCTTGTGCTGCCTTTTAAAATGAGGTGAATGGATATGTGTGTGTGTGAGTGTGTGTGTGTGTCTTACACATACCAAGTGTGCATATCCTTTCGGGTTGGGAAGAAAACTTAGAATTCATTACATCCTACCTAAGAGATGTGAATCCTAGTCATAAAAATTTTGGTGCCTGACTAAGGATTAAGGACAATCCTTAATGTCCAGGGACTCATCTGCTCATCTGAATATGAGGATGTTTGCCCAATTATCTTGGCAAAAGTCCTTTCCAACTAAAAGTTCCTGTGGTTCTGTGACATCTAGGGTGGATGCCTAGGTTTGGAGTCAGTGACTTACCATTTGTTCAGAAAACAATTTAAAACAAATACACTCTACTCAGTAGCTATCCATGCCTTGCCCCAAGGAAATAGAAAATACATATGGTATTACTTCATTGTACATGTTGAGGCACTGGCAGGAGCAGTAAGATAGCCTTGATTATGGTAGTTCTGTAAGATACTATAACAAAATAACTTGGCTAATTATGAGTCCATAAGAAAAACAGTTTCTCAAAAAATACTTGGTGGGCAGATGCTGGAAGTGGCCATTAACCAGTTAGTGTTATAGCCAAAAACAATGATTAACTCATTTATAGAATGTGGGTTGGTTATTATTTTAGCCTTTAAATTGGGGAGATACTTATATTCATTATATGGTATTTCTGGACTTACAAAATCATATTATTTTCAAGGAAATCTCCCCAAAGGAGATAATATCCTCTGTGTGATAGCCAAATCCACTCTGCCTGAAAGACTTGGCCATTGTAGGGATTATCTAAATGTGAACTCCCTACACCCTTCAGCTTTTTTGTCTACAGGTGTCACCTTTAAAGATGCAACTACCTGATTTCCAGAAAGGCAGTAGTCTTACTGAAGTCCTTAGAGTAGGAAGAAGGGTGGGCTCAGCCTGTCTTCAGGCTGGTGAGACCACCTCATCCATGTGGCAGGCATGTTCACGACTGGGAAATTTTCTCTCTTTAGGAAAAGGTCACCACTGAGATGTAAGATGACTTTTTTTTTTATTAAGGTATCATTGATATACATTCTTATGAAGGTTTCACAAGAAAAACAATGTGGTTATCACATTCACCCTTATTATCGAGTCCCCCCAACCATATCCCATTGCAGTCACTGTCCCTCAGTGTAGTAAGATGCCACAGAGACCCTATTTGTTTTCTCTGAGCTACACTGTCTTCCCCGTGACCCCACACACACCAGTGCACCAAGCATGATACCCCACAATCCCCTTCTCCCTCCCTCCCCACCTGCCCTCCCTCCACCCCTCCCCTTTGGTAACCTAGTCCCTTCTTGGAGTCTCTGAGTCTGCTGCTGTTCTGTTCCTTCAGTTTTGCTTTGTGTTATATTCCACAAATGAGGGAAATCATTTGGCACTTGTCTCTCTCCGCCTGGATTATTTCACTGAGCATAATACCCTCTAGCTCCTAAGATGACTTTTTAAAGGAACTGAAATAAAATGCTTCTCACAATGATGTGAAATAAAATTTAAGGCAAGCTTTTCCAGTTGCACCTTCTGAGGGAGCTGAGATGCTGAAATGCTCCCACTGTTGCATTGTTAAAGGGAGGCCAGGCTGCGTAGCCAAGGGACCCAGAAGTGCAGCTGAGCACAGGTGGATTTTTAGTTCTCTCACTAACAGTCCTCAGGGTGGCTAGTCCAGGGCAGCAGGCTGCTCTGCTGCGCGAGGTCAGCGTGGCTCACCCCACCGTCTCCCAGCTGTGGTCCCCATCCACACAGTGGATGCTGGCTCACCACCAGCCCATGAGACCAGGAAAAAGAGTCCGGGATGAGCAGCTTTCTTTTTAAAGATGTTGGCCTGAAGTTACCTCTCCCCCTGGCTCCCACCCCACAGCCAGAACTGGGTCACAAGACCACACCTCGCTGAGAGAAGGCAGAGGT